CGTCATCAACCTTACAACAACTGCTCACCTGAACCAAAGACCCTCTACCCACAATGGACAGGACCAATGTCATATACAAGATTCCCTGCAGAGACTGTGACAAACACTACATTGGATAAACAGGAAGGAAGTTAATAACAAGGGTACGCTAACATCAATTGGCTACAAAAAGACATGACCAATACTCCCTCATCTTATCCACATGGATAAGGAGAACTACCAATTTGATTGGGACAACACCAGGATCCTGGGACAAGCAAAGCAGAGACAAGCCTGGTACTCCACGAAGAAAGCCATCAACACACAGAGCTAGACCCCATTTACACTCCATTGCGAAGGAAAACTGGAAATCCAGATCACCGGACACCAGAGTTTAAATACCAAGTGGGAAAGCAACGGTGCTTCATCGGAGGCTGCACTGATGATGTTACCCAGCAGGGTAATGAAGTGTCTGTGGAACAACGAACCAGCTCGGCGAGTCAACCTACCACAACATCCACAATCCAAGCTACAAATCTACTCTAAAATCTTAGACAATTAATCACTGCCCCTTGATATTTAGTAGTGTTACCATCACAGAATCTGCCACTATCAACATCTGCCACCTGCAAGTGCCGCTGCAGGCCTTCCATCGTCTGGACTTGGAAATATAGTGCCATCACATCATTGTTGCTGGGTCAAAAATTCTGGAATTCCCTTTCAAATGACAGTGTGGGTCTACCTACAGCATGCAGACTGCAGCAGTTCAAGACTACAGTTCACCACTACCCTCAAGGACAGCTAGTGATGGACAAAAAAAGATGTTCCCAGCTAATGGTGATGTAGGACAAATTAGATTCCAGAGCTAAAATATGGCTTGACAGTTTTATTTATAGGATTTTTAAGCCAGTGACAAAGAACAGGGATGTATTTCCAAGTCAGGTTGGAGTGTACCGTGGAGGGCAATTTGCAGGTGATATAGTGTTCCCACATATCTGTTGCCCTCATCCTGCTAGATGGTAGCAGTTGGGGGTTTGAAGGTGTGTCTGTGGATTTTTGGCAAATTTCTGCCATATAATCTTGTAGAGAGTACACACTGCTGGTGTGGAGTGATTGCATGTTCGCGAATGTGATGTTAATCAAGCAGGCTGCTTCATCCTGGCTGGTGTCAAGATCAAGTGTCATTGAAGATACACTCAACCAGACAAATAGGGAGTATTCCATACCGTTCTGGACTTTTGCTTTGTTTACAGTGAACCAGGAGGTGAGTCACTTGAAGTATTCCTCATCTTTGATCTGCTGTTACAGTCAGTGGATGTTGATAGTGGAGGATTCAGTGATGGTAATGCCCATTGCCAATTGATAGGGACCCTTTCAATGGTTATATTGCCTCCTACTGGCAATGGTTGTTGGCTGGCATTGTTGTGACATGAATGTTATGTGCTACTTTTCAGCCTACCCTGGATATTGAGGTCTTGTGGCAATTAGAATTGGAGTCAGTCATTGGCAAACAGCAGCAGTTCTGACCTTACACACTGAAGGGAAGATTATTGATGAAAGAGACTCCCCTGAAGAACTCCTGTAGCTGAGATGATGAACCTTTAACAACCACAACTATCTTGTGTATTATGTAGGACTTCAACCAGATCAACCCTGGTTCAATGATGACTATAGGTTGGCATGCCAGGAGCACCAGGCATGCTGACAAATGAGGTGTCAACTTGGGGACATTACAACACAGAACTACTTGCATACCGTATGCTGCAAATAGCAATAGAGATAAATCTGATTTGTTCATTGTAGGACCATTAAATGTGGGAGTCCTTCCACATCCGTGAATAGTGGCAGACAATTCAAAAATCTGAACAGGAGGTGGTTTCACAAATATTCCCATGGTCAATGATGGGGACCCGGCACATCAGTGCAATAACCAAGCCTGACAACTATCTCCAGTCAATTTGATTTATTCCATGCAATATCAAGAAATGACTGAAGGCTCTGGATACTGCAAGGGTATGAGCCATGGCAACATTCTGGCAATTGCATTCTGCTTCAGAAAATCCCCACACCCAAAGTGCTCAGACATGATCTAACTGCAAAGAAAAATCCAACCTTTGCAAATGAGAGTAAACTGAAGAAAGGCACCATTGATACTGCTAGTGAGTATTGCTCAACAATAACCTGCTCACTGACACTTAATTTGGGTTCTGCCTGAGCCACTCACCTCGTGACCTCATTATTGTCTTATCAAAAACACAGACAAAAGAGGTAAATTCAGGGAAGTGAGGATGGCTCATCCTTGCACTTAACCCAGTATGGTGTCACAGATTCCTGGCAAAATGCTGGCATTGGAAAATTACGTGAAAAACACTCAAAACGAAACAACAAAGACCCAAGATGTTAACTCTGCTTTCTCTCCACAGTTGCTGCCAGACCGGCTGAGTTTTTCTCACAATTTGTTTTTATTTTTGGAGGGGAACATACTTCTGCTGGTTGGAGTCAGACATAGCACAAAGGAAAATGGTTTGGTTGTTGGACGTTAGTCATCTCAGCCACAGTACATCACTGTAGGAGTACCTCAGTGTACTGTCCTCAGCCTGACCTTTTCTAGCTATTTCAACAATTTTCCCAGCAGCAAATGGGGATGTTTGCTGGTGATTAGTGTTGAACATTATTCATTCACAACTTCGCAGATTACGAAGTAATCCATGTCCATTGCAGCAAGATTGGACAACATCTAGGCTTAGGCTAATAAATACCAAGTAATATTCACATGACATGACAAGTGGCAAGCACTGACCAGCTCAAACAAAAGATGCGCCCATTCCCCCTTGACATTCAATGGCAATATCATCATTGAATTCTCCACCATTACTATCATGGGGTGTTGCCATTGACCAAAAACTGAAGTGGACCAACCACATAAATACTACGGCTACACAAAAACTGTCAGAAGCTGGGAATTCTACACCAACCAACTCACTTTCCTGATTCCTCAAAACCTGGCTGTCAACGGTGTCAGGGAATACTATCTATTTGTCTCAAGTGCAATATCAACACAAGAAATTTAGTGCAACCTAAGACAAAGCAGCCTGCATGATTGGCGCATCATCTAACACAGTCAACATTCACTCCCTCCACCAATGATGCAGTAGGAGCAGTGTAAACCATTTATAATATTCACAGCAACAACTCAATGTTCTCTTAGATATCACCTTCCTTACCTGTGATCTCTATCATCTAGAAAGACAAGGGCAGCAGATACATGGGAGTAACATAAACTGCAAGTTTATCTCCAAGTCACACTGTCATGATTTGGAAATAATCACTGTTCCATCAGTATTGCTGGATCAAAATTCTGAAACTCTTTCCTTAACTGCATTATGGGTGATCCAACACCCATTGACTGTAGAAATTCAAGAGGGCAGTTCATCACCACCTCCACAAGGACAATTAGGGATGGGCAATAAACGTTCACTAAGCTAATGACACTAACATTCTGTGAATTAATTTTAAATAACTTTAATGAAGAATTTTAAAGAATTGGTGTATAAAATGATATATCCCTATTGTGAGTAAGAAGAACGAAATAGGAATAGAGGTAGGCAATTCATCCCATCAAGTCCGCTTTGCCATTCAGTGAGATAATGACTTATCTGATAATCCTCATCTCTATTTTCCACATTATATACAATATTGCTACACTTAACCCAGATGAATCAATGCTTTCTATCCTGCAGAATTCAATTGTGAAGTTCTGTGCCGCAGTATGGCAACTGCCTACTTTGATAATCAAAGGTTGGGAAAATTCCTACTTTGCCACATTTCCAACAGTGTATTAGGATTCCAATAACTTCAAGGCTCTTGCATGATTGAGAAATAAAAATGAGAATTTTGTTATCACAAAATATATGGAAAATATATGACTCAGACACTGAAAACAATGGAACAATCAACAAATTACATCAGCTTGTACTCATAAGCTCCAATATTAACCCTACTGTATCAACTTGGTCAAGTTTGCTGCAAAGAATGTTTAAACTGGAATGTTTCATGCCATGTCACTATTGCTGCTGCTTCATGAAATTTCTTCTAACTCTAACCTATTATTTACAATGAATTAAATATTTAGCATTTATCGTTTCAATTCAAAAATCAACTGCACTAGCTCTGGCCACATGTTCAATAGTTCAATGTACAATGGGAAAGGAATGCATGCTTGATTCTTATTTGAATCAAACATCTATTGTGAACAGAAAGCTACTGAGGGTAGAACTTGAGATGTCTATTAAAACCATCCAGCCTTCCATTCTGAGAAAAGCACACGACTTGAAAACTTACAAAGATCTTGTTACAAGTAATGTTACCGCTTCACAGGCCTTCACATTTAGGACAGGAGTCGGGGGTGGAAGGCAGGTGGTACAATGGAAAGGCAACATAAGGCAACACAAAAGCCATTCATCTACATCAGTGTGTGGAAAGTGAGCATCTGTTTTTATACAGGGAATCCGTATTTGGCTTTTCCAACCCGTTAACCAAATATCTTTGTTAGCAATGTACCATCTTTTCTTCATACAGTTGGTAACAGCTTTAAGAAGGCAGTGTTCTACAGAGATTTTTTTTTTTTTTAAATCTTGTAAACTTAGTCTAATATTGCTGAAATCCAGAGGTGATCTGTAGAGATATGCAATTTGACACAGGACCACTAAAAGTCAGTATGAAATTGACTACTGAGTGCCACCTTATATTAAGTCAAGCTCATCCAGAGCTCTAGCCCACCACTTACTTTGTATCACCCTAATTCACCTGACCTCAATTATGTATTTACATTTCTGCATGTCCATTTAAAAATTCTCAATCACTCAACTTTTCATTTTTTAAAGTTGACTTCAACCCACCCCCATTCACTCCATCCTTGACAGCATATACATGGACATCTCACAACTTATAAAATCTTATTTGGCAAAGCTGGTACAACATAGCAACAGGACAGAGCTAAACAAAAAGAAATCTACTGTGTGTAGAAGACTAAACTTTATTTTCTGATAGAACCCTTACCATAAATGAATCTGTAACTAAAGCTTCTAGGAACCTTCCTGATTGTTTAGTACAAAAACATCAAACAACAGCAGCATTAATCTAAACAAAATGGCAGTTACTAAATGGCAGAAATTTGGGGCACCTTTTTGGAAGATTTCCAGCAGGCAGTTATAGCCCCTTACAAAAAGAACAAACTTGCCATCTTAAAATGTTCATATTTTTAATATCTTTAAATACATAACTGGCAGGTGTTCTGTCGATAGTGGGAATAGTAAAGCCACTAATAGTCATTTTCAAAGCCACCAATCTAATTTTGTTATTACTATAAATTTTAAGCTTGTTATTTATGAAAAAAAGTGAAAGACAAATACATTTCTAACTATTTAAATATAAACATGTTAAAAATCTATTTTTGTGATACTTGCATGTCAGCTTAGTGGCAAAAGATGAACTGTTCCTCCTCCTGGAAAATTTCAAAATAGTTTTCATTCACTAAATGTGGATGTTGATGGCTGGTCCAGCAATGATTGCTCATCCCTAATTACAGTTAAGAGTCAACCTCGTTGCTGTGGGTCTGGAGTCAGAAGTGGGCCAGGCCAGATAAGGATGGCAGATCACCTTCCTAAAGGACATTAGTGAAGCAGCTGAGGTGTTTTAAAATGGTTACTTTGTCTCAGATTTTATTGTACTCAATATTTAGGAAAAAATTCCTGCCATGGTGGTATTCAAACCCATGTCCTCAGAACTTTGGAAAGGCAAGTTTTTAAACAAGGAAAATGTTGCCTCTCTCAGAGCTCAAACTCTGGATTTTATTTGATTTCCTGCTTTCCAGCAACAGAAATCTTTCCTGCAATTTTCAACTAGTTGAAAAGAAAATCACTTGTTATAATTACTGATGCAGAAAAATATCAAAGTTTCTCCAAAATACCAAATTCTTTCAGTTCATTAATGAGTTCTGATTTCCAGTGGTTTAATCCAGAGATGATGCTGCCCAAAGCTGGACATCTGTTGGGCACTGCGGATATTTCTGAAGTGCATCCATTATCTGACTGCTATCCAGAAGCAGTTTCACCAGCTGGTATTCTTTGTGTGTTCGGAGGGATGCTCCATCCATTGGTTTAATTAATTCCAATTGTTGCAGATGCTCAAATGCCTGGACAGAGAAAGGGAAAAATATGATAATCAGCCAGCAAACTTCTAATAGAATTAACAGTAAGGTGAATCACGAAAGTGGGCTATTGCTGGAAAAAAAAACAGCATTGTTGAAGCTTTCCATGTTGCATTCATCAGGACAATTTACAAAAATATCATTTCCAGGAGAAAACCAACATTTCTACTGCACAAGAGGAGAGTGCTGATTGGTTGGTAAGTGGACTCTGATTGAATCATGCGAGAGATAATTGTGATGCAAACTATTGGATTTATATTAACGTTTTAAGAAATTATTATTAATAGCAGTTTAGGTTTCTGTTTGTTTAGTGTGGGATATAGCATCACGCTACTTAGAAGGGAAGGAAATATACTGAATTAGGTTAGAGTTACTGAGAAACTTATTAGCAAAATTAACAAAACCATCTATTTATAATGCAAAATCAAAGGCTTTTAAGCATACAGTAAATGTATAATCCCATGAATTCCAAAACACTCCTTTATAATTAAAGATACAATATAGCTTCTGTATAGTAGCCAAAACACTACTCTTACTATCCTCACACCAGAATCTAACACCTCAGCACGTTTAAGTTTTCAAATTTTGATCTGGACCATACAGAAGCTTCAAAATGTACCTAGTTCAAAATAACCTCTTCAGGGTTTTATCCCAACAGTTCTGTTCGAGGACTATCACCAACTCTTCACTGTAAGGTAACTTATTCACTACATATCCTTCCCTTCTAAGTAGCACAATTCTATATCAAATTCTATTCCAAGGACTTCATATGACTACTCCACTTAAAGTTTAAAAACTGAAACCCAAATGTCTCCCTCTAAGGGTGTTTCCTTTAGCTTAAACAAAAAAAGTTTCAGAAGTCTCTAACCTCTAGCCCCATTATTTACCTCGCTGTGTCAGCAAAATAACAGAAGTCTGTTGGTGATTTAGAGGATACAAAGATTTTGCACTAGGCCCTAGCATATGCTTACATTTTGCCACGATCCCTTTAAACATTTGCTATTCATACACATATCCAAATGTCTTTTGACCGTACCTGCTTCTACCACTTTCTCTGCAGTTCATTTCTACATACTAAACTACACGGTGAAGAAGTTGCCCTTCAGGGCCCTTTTAAATCTTTCTCCTCTCATCTTAAAAATATGCCCTCTGGTTTTTAACTCTCCTACCTTAGGGAAAAGGCCTTTGCTATCTATGACCCAAAAGGCCACCCCTTAACCTACTACACTCCAGTGAAAGTCGTCCCAGCCTATCCAGCCTCCCCTTATTACTTAAACCTTTAACTGAGTTTTTTTGAGCAAACAACAAAGATGATTGATGAGCACAAAGCAGTAGATGGGATCTATGTGGACTTCATCAAGGCCTTCGACAAGATCCCTTATACAGAACGTGAAGTCAAATGGGATCCAGGGTGAGTTGGTTAGATGCATACAGAACTGGCTTGGTCATAGAAGACACAGCAGCAGTGCAACAGAGTGTTTTTCTGACTGAAGATCACCAGTGTTCTGTGCAGGGCCCCTGTTGTTTGTTTTTTTAGCTATATAAAAATGATTTGGAGGAGAACATAGGTACTCTGATTAGTAAGTTTGTGGATGACATAGGTTGAGGGAGCTACAGATAGTGAGGAGGATTGCCACTGGATACAGCAAGATATATATAGGCTGGAGATGTGGGCCGAGAAATGGCAGACTGAGTTTAGTCCCAGCAAATGCGAGGTGATGCATTTTGGAAGATCTAACGCAGGAGGGAAGTATACAATAAATGGAAAAACCCTTAGTAACAACATCTAGGCACGCAGGGTCTAGGCACGCAGGATCACAGTTCCCCGAATATGGCAACACAAGTGGATCAGGTGGTCAAGAAGTGGCACACTTCCCTTTGGTTGGGGCATAAAGTATAAAAATTGGCAAGTCATGTTGTATTGAGCTGTACTGAACTTTAATAGGCCACGTTAAAGTATCTGTACCTAGGTACCCTGCATCTAAGATAGTGCCGAGAGGCGAAATTACAAACTTTTCACTGCGCTCATTCAAGTACACGTGACAATACAGGCTACTCTGATTCTGAAATATTGCATACAGTCTGGTTACCATTCTACCAGAAGAATGTTGAGTCTATGGAGAGGGTATAGAAAAGATTTACCAGGATGTCTGGTTTGGGGAGGGTATTAACTAAGAGAAGAGGTTGGATAAATATGGTTTGTTTTCACTTCAACTTCAAAAGGATGAGGAGTGACCTGATAGAAAGTTTACAAAATTATGACAGGCATGGATAGTCAGAACCTTTTTCCCAAGGCAGAAATCTCAATTACCAGAGGATATAGGTTTAAAAGGTAAAAGAAGTGAGTTTAAAGGAGAAGATCTGAGAGGCACATTTCTTTCCCTCCCCCCACTGCAGATAGGGTAATGAGTGCCTGGAATGCACTGCCAGAGGAGGTGGAGGAGGAGGATACAAATCAGAATGTTTAAGAGGCATCTTGACAGATATATGAATAGGCAGGGAATAGAAGGACAGAGACTGTGCGGAGGCAAAAGATTTGTAGTTTACAAAGTCATCAAGTGTTGGCACAAGTTTGGTGGGCCAAAGGGCCAGTGAACATATGCCTCTTACAGAATTAGGCTGTGGAAATAAGAAGCAGGGAAACATAACAAATTGAAGGGGAGTTGAATCAATACTTTGCATCAGTCTCCATGATCAATGAAACTAATGGCTTTCCAAAAGTACCAAATAATCAAGAGGCAAATAGAGGCAAGGAAATAAACATAATAACTATCAATAGTTTTGAGTGCTTTATCTGACGGGGCTGAAACAGAAAGGTTCCCTGGATGTGATGGGTTGCAACCTTGGACAGTAAAAGTAATAATGACAGAGATATTGGATGCCTTGTTGTTATCTTCCAAGTATCCTTAAGATTCTTGAAAGGTCTTAGGGGACTGGAAACCCATTAATGTAATGCCCTTATTCAAAGAGGAAAGCAAAAAAAAGAAAGAGGAGATAACTATGTATCAATTAGTTTAACACATCATTGGAAAACACTAGAGTCCATTGGTAAGGATGTAATAGCAGGTCATTTAGGAATATGAGATATAAATAAGCAGAGTCAACACGCCTTCAGGAAGACGAAATCATGTCTGAGAAATTTATTGGATTTTTTGAAGAGTTAACAAGCGGAATATATAACGGAACCAGTAGACGCAGTATATTTGGATTTCCAAGAGGCATTCAGTAAGGTAACGCATATGGATATTACCAATACAGCAGGTGCGTGGGAATATGATCAACTGCAAAAATCGTAAAGGACATATAGGACCAGGAGTCACCATTATCCCTAAAGCCTGCTCTACCATTCTAGAGAGCACAGCTGATCATCCAGCTGTGCAATTTGCTCATATTATCTCCATTTCCCTTCATGTCATCAGTATTTAGAAATCTACTGAACTATGATGAATTTACTTAGATCATATATACCTTCAGATCTTCTCTCCTAAAGGAATAAAGGGGAGAAAACTAGATGGAAAAAGTAGAGAAAACACTTCATTTACATGGACACAAAATTTAACGTTTACAGGTTGCAACATTCCTTACCTTCAAGACTACCGGTTTTTTGAAGTTATGCATTGAATGAGTTGTCCTTTGAATGAAATTCTGGAATTCTGTAATGCAATCAACAAATTCTAAATGCCTGGTGGCTTTACCCACACTAGCCCTCCTCAGAATACATCTATTAATTCAGAACCAGACAATGATCCAAGTCATTAAAGGCACAATTCTTCATTTCTGGTTTCTATGCACCCTGTCACCCACACCATTCCATCAGCTTCCTCAGTGTGAAAATATAAATCATGAAATAAAACTTTTCAGTAATGGCATCAAATAAACAAAACTTTCAGATTATACACTTAAGTTTCCAGAAGGTACTCATTTAGTGGATTCCACATAGATAGGCAAAATGACTGTGGGGTTCACAGTGACTGTTCTTCAAGCAACCCTACAGTCTTGTACACACAATATAGGGTTGAGTGGGAGAGAGAGAATCATTCCAAAAAACTGTTGAAGGGGTATGGTTTCTCCCAGTACAATTTTCTCCTGTTTAGAATTCTAATTAGACTGGGTGGATATTACCAAAAGGTGATTTTGCCATGCAAGATTTCAGGATGAATCACTGGGTCACCTAGAAAATACTGATATAGAAGTCAAATAGGGGTTTAGTTGTGTGTGTGCATGCGTTAGGAGGATCCCCCATCCGGTGTCATTCCGATGGTTTTGACCACCCACTCCACCAAGGTCATTACCCTGTTTATCTCTGAGCTCCTGATATCTCATACCCAGACTTGCCACTTTCTTCACCAAGCCTGCCAGCTAGGCCCTGCCAATATCTGAACTTCATAGCTTCTTGTCATGATTCTGGCTGTAGTCCCAAAAGTAGCCATGGCTTAACCTGGTGCTGCTTGATCTGAATGACTGCTGAGCCATTGCTCCTCAAAAGGTGGGGTGTCCTCCCCACAGGGGGACAGAATTCTTGAACTGAGCCTGTCAACACCCCTCTGAAGCTCTGAGGCAGCTGGCTTTCCTCTGGGTAGGCTTTGACCATCATTAAGTTCTGGAGAACAGATGGATAGAATGCAGAATACAGCAGCTTGTAAAAATCAGCCCTGTGTTTGTTGGGTACTAAAATAAACAAAATTCAATATATTACCATCTTCATTCCAAACTCCACAAATTTAACCTCACTTATATTAAAAATTCAAGGCTGGATTGCAAGAATAGATCTCGCCAGCACATTAATCTTGCACTTTTAGCAAAATCCTCATTTGAATTTTGGTAAGAAGTAGAAAAGGACTCTGACAACCAAATGTGCTTCTGTCCATTTTACAAATTAGCTTTAGGAACCAAGATAATAAATTATCCTTAAAAATTAAGGAAAGCTTACCATTGTAAACCATTTCAAAGTTAAAAGGCTCTCCTTCATAAATTGAATTTAAGTGCTTCATGGCAATGATCAAGCACAATTCTAGCACAGACAGACCTACAAGGGAAAACAGGGTTGAATATTAAAGTTGAAGTAGTCTTTGTAGTGACTTTTAAGAGAAAGCATCGAAACAAAATCCAGAAGTGATGACCAATTTCACTAAGACAAGTTTCATAGGTTATGCATGATGGTTTTCCAACATACTGCTATAGCAAGAGACTTTACAATGTAGTCTCCTTTACATTGATGAGACCAAATAGAGACTGAGTGAACACTTTGCAGAATACCTCCATTCTGTCCTCAGAATGGCCTTACCTTCCAGTTGCTTGCTCGTTCAATAAACTACTTTGCTCATATGCAAATATTCCAATCCTGGGCCTGCTAGTGTTCCAATGAAAAATAATGCAAGCTGGAGGAACAGGACCTCATTTTCTACAAACATTTCAGAGTTTCTAGGACTTAATACTGACCACTTTGTTTGCCATCTTTGTATATTCTCTCCATCCGACCTTGCAAGCTATATCTTTATATCTTATTGACTTTGCTCTCAGCACAGAGACTCATTTTCTCCTTTTCACACCTTTTTGTTTATAACCATTTTACATCTCTATCTCTGCCTAATGGTGGTGGGCCGGAGAGAGGGAGACAGACATACACACACCACACGAGTTTGACTTTTTCTCTGTGCACCCTGAATCTGTACCACTTGCTCCTTCAACTCTTAACAGTACAAGAAAAAGTGTTTTCCAATCCCTTTCAGAACTGGAGACTAGCCTTTGGACTGAAAACATTGACGGTTTCTGTCTCCATTGATGCTGCTCCAGACTTGCTTAGTGTCTCCAGTAGATTGTTTTTATTTGCTTTTAAATAGTATATTTGAGACAAAAAAAAAGCCAAAAGGACATTTTGGTATTTCAATCTACATTTAGATAATGCAGAGTCCTAGACCTTGGTCATTAAAGAGATGAAAAATGAGAAGAATTTTGAAGTGTAGTCACAGCTAATTTGCACACAACAAGGTTCCACAAATAGATATGTAGGATGTTTTTCAAAAAAAAAGTAACACAGTCACCTGCAAGAGGACAGAGGATCTTGATTTAATATATCATCAAAAGAAAAAAAAAGACCTTTCAACATTACAGCAATCCCTCAGTACCACACGGAATTATTCATCCAGACAACACTTGAAGTTTCTCGGGGGAGGCTTCAACACATGTCCCTTCTTTCAGAAGCGAAGACTAATCTGACACCCAAATATATGGAAGCTGAACTCAAAATGATTAAAGTTGGTTATGTAGTGCACTTAAAACAAAAAAGATATGAACATAGGATTTCAAAGATTTCTTCAAGATTTGGAGTGAATGATGGAACCTACTAATTGATTGCTTTTATAACTAGGTGAGGATTATAGGATATTCATCCTCTACTGTGTTTATTCAGAATTTGAATAATGATCAAAGAATTAACACAGCAGATAGATAACTTCTACGGATTTCTAAATTCTCTAAAAAGACCAGACAATTAGGCTTCCACGGTCATGTATTAGCTAGATTTTTCTGTCTTGCCAAAGCTTTTTATGATATTAAATTAAAAGCATTAGATGGATGGAAAAGAAACAGGCAGTCACGTCGGTTTTAAAAACCTGGGCTTCATAATCAAAGAATATTGACTGGAGGTTAGCTCAACAATCAAGAATATTATTATGTTCCCAAATATGGGCTGCTCAGTCAAACGCAATGCAGTGTGGAGCTGGAGGAGCACAGCAGGCCAGGCAGCATCAGAGGAGCAGGAAAGTTGACATTTTGGATTGGGGCCCTTCTTCAGAAATGGGGAGGGGGAAGGGAGCTGGGAAATAAATAGAGGAGGGGTGGGGCTGGGGAAGGGATGGTGATAGATCAGTGCAGGTAGGGAGCGGTTGGAGGGGCGGGTAAGTAGGAGAGAAGATGGACAGGTTGTGTCAGATGGACAGGTTGTGTCAGGTCAAGGAGGTGGGAATGAGAGGGAGAGTTGGACATGGGATGGAGGCCGGGATTGGGGAGATTTTGAAATTGGGGAGTTCTATGTTTAAGTCATTGGGCTGCAAGCTCCAGAGGCAGAATGAGATGTTGCTCCTCCAGTTTGCGGTGGCGTCAATGTGGCGCTGGAGGAGGCCCAGGATGGACATGTCACCCAGGGAAATGAGAAGGGGGAGTTAAAATGGTTGGCGACCAAAAGGTTGTGTACAGAACACAGATGCTTTACAAAACGGTCTCCGAGTCTACGCTTGGTCTCGTCGATGTAGAGAAGGCCACATCGGGAGCAGCGGATACAGTAGACCAAGTTGACAGATGCACAGGTGAACCCTTGTCTGATATGAAAGGTTTGCTTAGGGTCAACTTCCCTGCTCCTCTTATGCTGCTTGGCCTGCTATGTTCCTCCAGCTCCACAGTGTATGGTCTCTGACTCCAGCATCTTCAGTTCTTACTATATCTACTCAAACAGTTTCATTTTGAACCTTTCCTGAAGGCAGCTCATAATATAACAAGGGTAATTGAGACCTTTATCTGGAAAGCTACAAAATCTTAGTAAGCTGGGAGAAGAGGTGGCCAGCTACAACATTTTCTATGTTGCTTTCAATTTCCATCATTTTTCCTGCTGGCACAGGAAATAGACTTAAGCAAAGTTTATATTGTATTTGCAAGGGCTGCAATGGACGGTATTATCCCTTCATATCTCTAATACCTAGACTAAATAAATTAGCTTTCCTTACCATGCAGTACATTTGCTTTAGAATCCATCATGTACTGTCTGCTGGCTGCTAGAAGGTCTGTTGGTCGAATATTTGGGTTGGAGACAGTCACATGACTAAGTGTCAACATCTGGGAAAAAATGTAAAAGTAACACGATGACTAAACAAGTTATATTGTAGTTCAACATATTAATTGAATTTTACCAGGCAGTGGGACAATGACAAGTATTTATATTCTTTGCAAAATATTATGGCAAATGGCTTTTCACATTGTTAACGACGTCACATTTGTGTGAGATTTGATTAATCATTACCTCATTGGACAGAAGCTCCAATGGAATGACATAATATAGAAGGATTATTAGATTGTGACAAAATGCAAATTGAGTATAATTTAAATGATTAACTTTCAAAGCAAATTAGTCAGTTAAAGTGTGCAATACAAAGGTCAGGGACATAGGACAGGAAGGAACCAAATTGCCAGCAGGGATGCTCTTATTCCGATCTGCTGTTGAAAGAACAAATATTGTTCAAGATGAAGACTGATGGCCAATTTCTGGCTGCTCCAATTGCCAAAGAGCTTATGCACCTTGCCAAGTACGAATGAGTTCAGTCCAACTTGGATGGGTTTTTTTAAAAAAGAAAAGGCATGGAAACATTGCAAAATCAGAATGTCTGGTCAGCTTTATAAACACTGCAGAACGCCCTCTGGTGACAGATCTGCTTTATTGAAATGACACTATGACTGCAACCACCCTCACTCTAACCTCCAGCATCTTGGAGAATAATGGGGTTTATAAAACATAATTTCACTCCTACTTTGTCTTTGAGCAAGAGGAGTATTTCACTGGCACAATGCCAGGGGCAAATACGGTCATCTCAGTTCATCAAATGGACAATGTCCATTCCCCTACCGGCCACTCAATAAGTGCATATTTTGGTAAAGTTGACTCTGGCGCAAGTATGTTCTGGTCAGCAACCAGATTTTGCAGGCAGGTGCTATATAACCGGAAGTAAATTTAAGAACTTTCATGGATGTTCAGCAGCATTTCATTTCCAAAATGCAGCAAGGGAAGCACTGTATAGCAGCAGCCGAATAGGCAAATGAGGATAAGCGACAGTCTTAATGGATTTCCACAAGGATAACTGCTACTTTAAACTGAACTGTTCATTTAACGTTTGAATAGAGATGAATCACTTCTTGTAGTGTGTAGACTCTTCACAGTGGCAATGACCACAACATGTTCACTGTGGTCAGTCTGATTTTAAACAGAATATACAGTGAAGGTCTGTGTGCAAATGAAAAGACATAACCAACTTAAACTACTGGTTAACTCAAAAGTGCTGGGCTGCACAATCAGACCAAGTAGAATACTTTCTGCATTCCATCCATGCCTGCCATACATGTTAACCATAAGGATGCCCTACTGAAACAAGTCCCATTGTGCAATGCTAGTAATTACTGAAAAGGGGTTAATTGCTACTTTAAACCATTATAAAATACTGTTTGACTTTTACAGATAATAAGCTCTTACTAGTAGCATATGCAGAGAGCGGAAATCCTTACTGGAATTGAAGTGCTTCTGTAAAATATCTTCCACCATCTTATCCTTGCACAGACACTAGTAGGACAAAAATATTTCAGATGGATGTTAAATAGCTGCAAGTAGTACAGGGAGCTAATAATATAGACAAAAAGAAAATTAAACAATATGATAGGATTTACTGAGGTAGAAATTAGATTACCACTCACAAGTCTCTCCTGATAATGCAGAACATAATGCCAACAAGCACCCCAATTACTAAAGACAATCTGAAAGTGGTTATCCGCTGACCGTGACATAAAATGGAATTCTTTACCAAGCTAATATTTGCTGATTCTATAAAATTGTTAAAAAAAAAACTTTTGCATGTGTACACTAGGAGATATTTTTAACCTAGGCTCTTAACAATTTAAAGATTAAAAAAAATTCAGTCATAGATCCAATTGTCACAAGATCAGTCCTCCCAAATGTTCATTGCTGTTAAGATGGTGATGGAGAGTTATCAGCTTGAATCACTGTCGTCCACTAAAGTGAGCTACTCCCACAGCAATTTAGGGAGCAAGACATTTGACCCTCCAATAACGGAGCAGTGACAATATATTCTGCAGTCACTCAGAAGGGGTACCTGAAGATAGCAGTATTCTGATTTCTTTGTCTTGTTATTCTGTATGATAGAGGTCAGGGGCTCGCAAGATCAATTATATATTTACTGTTCTATATTTACAGTTCTGAGGAAGGGTCACCGGACCCGAAACGTTAACTGTTTTCTCTTCCACAGATGCTGCCAGACCTGCTGAGCTTTTCCAGCAACTGTGGTAAATATATGGAACAAAAACAAAAATAAACAAACAATCTGTTTAACAACTATGCATGGACCATTGATCTGTGCTTTCAACAGTTCACGTTGCGTAGGTGGAAAGGCTTTGCAGAGTCAGGAGGGGAGTTACTCTCTGCAGGATTCCTAACCTCTGACCTTCTCTTATAGCCACAGTATTTACGTGGCTAGTCCAATTGGTTTCTGTCAAGGGGAACACCCTAGATGTGAATGGTGAGGGATTCAGTAAATGGTTACATTCGTGTTTGTTGGAGATGGTCATTGCCTGGTAAGACATTTAGCTCATCTGCATATTGATTAAATGAAGACCTTGAGCACTGATCACAATGCAGCAAAAACAACTTTTATTTGTATAAAGCATTTAATTTTTCCCAAGTACTTCAAAACATATGACCGGGAAAAAAAAATTCATTACAAGCACCGAAGGCATATAAAAATGAAGTTTCAATTGAGTAAACATGTTAATCTTTCCGGCATGAGAATTCCTATTATTGAAGTCTATATTTTCTGTAGCACTTCACATATGGTGAATGTACTTCTAATATTCATAAGGGATCTATTCACAATATTTTTGTCAAACGCTTGGAAAGATTCGTATCTATTGTACTGGCTATACAAGTGAACTCAAGAAAAGAAAGGTTACCTGGATATTTTGATTCCATTCCTGTGCAAATCTCCCATCAGGAAATTCTTTTGGTAAAATAAGTTGTTGCTGGAACATTTCCACATATTGTTTGAAGCCAAATGCGTTTAGCAAATGAATCTGCCTGTGGGAAAATCTTGACTTCACACGTTTTTCCAGGAGTTCCAAAACATCCTGAAGTTTTGGCAGAAATGGTATGAAGTGAAAAACACGGTAAAATACCACAGAATTCATCAACTGGAGTACTATATTTCATCAACAGTATCTGGAGACTTTATAATTTTTATGTAGCTACAATTGCTGATAACCCGTGTCCTATGTATAATAAGGCTGAGAGATTTGCTGATTGTGAAATCTGGGTTTGGATCAATAATTTTGACATCAGACCTAACAGCTGACCTATGACCGCTAACTGCTATGCTCCTGAAGCAGACATTATAAACCATAACTGAAGCTCATTGGTCAGTAATGCACCAAATAGTATTTTGTTCTGGCAAATCAAAGGAAAGCAGCTTAACAAAAGTAGAGGTCCTTTGAAGTTGTGCCTTAAAAGGTCAAGACAGATTCTGATGCAGCATATTAGAAGACTAAAATGTTATTACACAGAGATAAAAGAATCAGAAAAGACAACAATGCTCACATGAAGAGCATTCATTTGGGTACTTTATCAATAACGATTTCCTGGCAAGGACACAGATTCAAAGGAGAGAAGTGGATACAAACAAAGTGCATTAACTTGTATAGTGCAAGAAAAAGTAGAAAAAAAGTGAAAAACAAAATTGCAGGAATTATATGCTATTCTGCATTTATCACATCAGCCTCAATCACCTTAAATACTGGAATAGATTCGAGGGACAAAAAGGCCTACTCCTAAAGAAACTAAAAACTTACATCTCCATTAGTTTCATAACAAGGAACAAACAGAAGAGGTATAATTTGCCTGGTGATCCAAATCTGAAATCATAAGTAAATAATGATTTGTCTTTATATTGCATATTGAAAAGGAAACAGGGAGAACAGAAGGGGACTGAATAAGGCCCTAAAATCTTGAAAGGAAAGGAATAAATTGCATTGAAGTTTTCCCATTTAGCTCTCAGTAGCGTTGGTTTTTTATATCATCCACACACAAGATGAGGCTAAGAATTAGCAAGCAGTTGCACAATGGAAAGATGAGAGAAAATCTTTAAAAATAGAAATTCATTGTTGACAACGTTTAGCTTGCAAAAATAAGTAAACGCAGTTCATATTTATGCTTGTTATCTCCAAAGTGTTTGGCATAATAGACACAACAAAGGCACAGATTCGGTATAGAAGGATAAAAGGATAGAGGATTAAAGCAAATATCAATAGGAAACACATTATTTTAATAAAAAAGATCACTGTTAAAAACCTTCCTTTCAATTTTAGCCTTTATTGCAAGATGACATACACTTTTCCAGCCCATTGTTCACATGGTCAACACAATTATGCAAAAAAAAAAATTAATTATTCTTTTTTCAGTTGATCCAATTTTTCCTCCTTTTTCAAACAGATTCTTCATATACTGTTATTGGAACCAATGCTTTGTGGGAAAACATCAATGGATGTCGAACACATATAAACCATTGAACATTAATAATTATGAGGGTTGTAAAGCCAACAGCGTGGGTGAATTTCCACAACGGCTGAGGTTACCATGAAGGATACTCTCTCAACCTCTCCCCTAGCCCGTGGTGATCCTCAGGTTAAACTATCGTCAGGAATCTCTCTCTATCACTCTCACTATAATGACAGCAGCCCTATGGTCCAGTAGGATAATGGCTACTTTACTTTATACTAGTTGCTTTTCTAATAACTGAAGTCAGGTTAGGTGGGAAAAATATGCATGTCTTAAATCGCATATACAGTCTGTTCTGCTAGAACACGTATTCCAACAAGACAAATTGTCTATAGCGTTCCCCTATTTGTCAGTCGCATTATTTCTAAAACGTGAACTTGTGTTGGCTGTAACGCGATTGCGTCGGTGTGCAGAGGAGTACATGTCAACATCACATGATCGTTTCACGGGCTTTGTCCTGAGCAAGTGTAATGTTAGCGCCGAAAGAGTCTCTGCTCCAACATCATGTGACCATTTCACAGACTTTTGAGAAGCACTGAGAGCTACAGTATTCAGTGATTTTTTTTTGCAAATTCTGCTGTGTTACCCACAAAAATGCAAGAACAAAGTGACAAGAATATTAGCAAGAAGCATCCTGCTGATAAAATTGCCGGTGGTGAACGTAAAAGAAAGGCTATAACACTGGAAGAGACGCTAGATGTTGAAGTTTTTTGAGCGTAATGAGAGAATATAGTTCATGGAACAGGAATAAAGGGGTCTACCTTACACACCATTAAAGACACTGCAGAAAGGATTAAAGCCATTGCGGTAACAAGTCTGAGTGCTAGCAAATCGGAGAGGTCACAGACAAAGGAACTGGAGGAGATGGAGCAGTTTCTAAGTGTGTGGATAGAAGACCAAAGGAAAAAGTGATCTGGGACCACCTGTCTCACTCTAAAAGAGAAAGCCTTATCAATTTATGAAAGATCTAACAAAACAAAAGCTGAAAATCCTGCAGATGTACTGGCCTTTAGTGCCAGCAATGGCTGGTTTGCTTGTTTTAAGAACGCTCTGCTTTTCAGAATGTAGTTATGTGGTGAAGCTGCCAATACAGATGAGGAGCATGCGATGACATTTCCTCCAGTAGTAAAAAAATTAATTGACTAAGGCGGCTACAATTTAGATGAAGTTTTCAATTTGGATGAATCAGGTTTATACTGGAAGCAAATGCCATCAATAATCCTACATTTCTATGAATGAAGCACACGCTCCAGGCTTTAAGGTGGCAAAGGATCGTAGGACTGTGCTGCTAGGTGCCAATGCCAGGGGAGACTTAAAGCTCAAGTCTGTGGTATGTACCACTCTGCCAACCTGTGAGCCTTAAAGAGGTTACCTTAAGTCTACTCTAGGGGTCTACTTTAGGTCAAGCCAAAGAGGTTGGATGATGGGGCAAATTTTACTGACCTCATTGGTGAATTTTTGGAAGATGTTTTTACACAGTATTGCAGGAAAAAGAAAATTTGGATTTCAAGATTCTCCTCATCCTGGACAATGCGGCAAGTCATCCTATCACCATTAGTGAGCTCTCTGAAAACATGGAAGTGCCATTTCTACCCTCAAACACAACCTTTGTCTTTCAACCCATGGACCAGGGTGCAATAGCAGCTTTTAAAGCTTATTATTTAAGGTACACATTTAAGAGGCACTGAGGGGTACAAGAACAGTGTTCTTCAATTTTGGAATAGCTTTAAAATCAAGAATGAAATTGACATTAATCGGGGAAGCCTGGGGTGATGTCAGTAAGGACTACTTGCAGTTTGGCAGAAGCAGAACACAGCAGGGTAACAGTTCGTGGAATGAGATCTTATTTGGCACCCTATGGACAGCTTCTTCATGAACGAAGAAAAAGGGCAAAGCAGCAAAAACTGGATAACGTCTTTTATAAGCCAACCCCCAAGAATAGTCAGAAGAAAACAAATCATGGCCATCCACTTCCGGATTAACTATTTTTCGCCCTAACTCTGCAACCACAACTGCACCCTCAGCCCCAGCATTAACAACACAGCAACCTCAACACTCTTCCCCCATTAATTCAACTTGACAGTTTTTTTGAGGTAAAGTGTTAAATTTATTTTTATTTTATTATTAGATAGGAATTAAACATTTATTCAAACTGCTATCCTTTGTGTTAGGCTTTTGAGTGATTTTTAAGTAATTTTGAGTGATATATTTTGGTGGTTTGCCTCAAACCCACACATTCCCATAGAGCCTGTTTATTTCTGCAGCGTGATTTTCTTTAACACAATATTGCGCAGGAACATAACTATCATGTTATAGCAGAACTGACCGTAAATTAATCAATGCTAATCAACAAGATTTTAAGATCTTGCGATAAAGTTGTCAATCATTCCTCCTTACTTTGAAAACACCAACTAAGCAGACAGTACGCATAAAGTTCAAATTGTTAGAATTATCTAAGACTGGGAATTTCAAAATACCACCAGGCCCCAATTATATACAGTACAGTAAACTCTAATTCCCAATGTCGCATTTGCCCTTGTTGCCCTTAGATGCTAAAAAGTATGTTCTCTGCAGATAGCTACTAGCATTGAGTGTTTGCCAAGAGTAGCCCAAGGTTTGTTACACTTCACTTTAATCAGATATCCTAGAATTTATTTTGGATTTGAACTTCAATGCCACAGATTAATTTTCTGCCGAGAACCTTCTCAGTCAACTGAATGTTGCCATGGTTGGCCAAAACTTGTCAAACTGTTTCTTTGTCCAAATATACTACCAACTCTTGTCAAAACTGAAAATAAGCTTAATTGTAGAAAGTTGTTACTAGTGCTTGTGTCTTCCCTTGACTTGAACTGAAGAAATAAAAGCTGCAAAACGTCATTAGGAGCGGAGTTCATCCGGGTCCTTGAATAGCAGAAATAAAAGCAAACTAAGACAGTGCATGTAATTACTCCCTGTTTATTGTGAAGGCCTACAGGCCAGTAATTAAGTGAGGTCAGACTTTTCTCAAGTGCTTAATTCATCTTTTTAAGTTCTAAACTGTCGGAATGAAAGAAATACAAATCCCTTGTTAGCAAGTGGCCTTTTTTCAATGTGCCAATCCAAGAAGTTTTAAGAAGTCGAACAGACATCAAGAAGTAAAGAACACAAGAACTAGGAGCAGGAGTAGGCCGTCTGGCCCTTCGAGCCTGCTCCGCCATTCAATAAGATCATGGCTGATCCTTTCATGGACTCAGATCCACTTACCCGCGTTCTCACCATATCCCTCAATTCCTGTATTGTTCAAAAAAAATCTACCTTTTTTTAAAAAGCGTTTACTGAAGTAGCGTCAACTACTTCACTGGGCAAGGAATTCCATAGATTAACAACCCTCTGGGTGAAGAAATTCCTTCTCAGTTCAGTCCTAAATCTGCTCCCTCTAATCTTGAGGCATGCCCTCTTGTCCTAGCTTCACCTGCCAGTGGAAACATCCTCTCTACTTCTATCTTATCTATTCCCTTCATAATTTTATATGTTTCTATAAGATCCCCCCTCAATCTTCTGAATTCCAATGAATATAATCCCAATCTACTCAGTCTCTCCTCATAAGCCAACCCCCTCAACTCCGGAATCAACCTAGTGAACCTCCTTTGCACCCCCTGCAGTGCCAGTACATCCTTTCTCAAGTAAGGAGACCAAAAACTGCACACAGTACTCTAGGTGTGGCCTCACCAGCACCTTGTACAGCTGCAACATAACCTCTCTGCTTTTTATTTCAATCCCTTTAGCAATGAAGGACAAAATTCCATTTGCCTTCCTAATTACTTGTTGTACCTGCAGACCTACCTTCTGTGATTCATGCACAAGGACACCTAGGTCCCTCTGCATAGCAGCATGCTGCAACTCTTTACCATTCAAGTAATAATCCTTTTTACTATTACTCCTACCAAAATGTATGACTTCACATTTATTTACATTGTATTCCATCTGCCAGACCTTTGCCCGCTCACTCAATGTATCTATGTTCCTCTGCAAAGTTTCACAGTCCTCTGCACACTTTGCTTTGCCACGCATCTTAGTGTCATCTGCAAACTTTGACACCCTACACGTGGTCCCCAGCTCCAAGTCATCTATATAAATTGTAAATAATTGCGGTCCCAACACCGATCCCTGAGGCACACCACTAGTCACTGACTGCCAGCTAGAATAGCACTCATTTATCCCCACTCTTTGCTTCTAAAGCCAACAGTGCTAACTATTTACATGAAAAAAAAATATCGGACAGTAACATCCAGCAACCACTTGTAATGCAGGGAAACACAGAAATCCAAAAGTTGTTGATTGAAATATCTCCATCTTGCTAAAGCTATGCAATGCCAAGGCAGATACTCACTGAAATAAACTGAATGATATGAAGATGTTGCATTTACCTCAGAGATTGCAACTGCATTTAGCATTCTGGTCCCTTTCAATCATATCTTAATCACTGCCAGACACAGAAGTGAGTTTTACTCCTGTGGAACACCAATCCTTCAAATTTAAATTGATTATTTTCAAAAAAATCAAACAAATATCCACTATTTCTTTATCTCATTTCCCCCCCTTTCTTAATCTAATCTTTCTTCCTTAGTCTATTCACTTTCTACACCTGATTTGACATTTAAATAGAACACTCACTGACAGTTCGTAGTTCAGATACTGCACTGATTAGGAACAGATCTTAAATCTAATTAATTAAAAAGAGAAACAAAGTTGTTCACCTTATTTGCAGAGGTCCCAGAACCCATGCAAGGGTACTGCACACTTTGGCTTTCTAATTTCCACCGTTAAATCCTATAGAGTGTCTATGAGTTTATGCAAGTGTAAAGAATAGCTAGCCACACTCGTTTACTGCTGAGCTCAAAATGCAGCCTCAAGGCTAGATACGTTAATTTATCTGCAATTTTAAAGTTGCATCCCAGTACTATCCCTTTACTTCCAGTCAGAAGGTCCAGATGATACCAGTTCCTGTTTGGATCTTCAGCAGGATGAGAAAGATGAGAGCAAAGAAAGAATGCAAGAATATCTAATGTTAGAATACAATATTTTCACTCTTAGATTAAGAACTGAAAATGCTTTCATAACATATTTTAAAAGCTATTTTTATAAAAAATTCCTCTGTGCACTTACCAATCGACATGTCAGGCCCACTACAGCTACAGGTGTCTGGGCAGACTGAGCAACATCAAGGAGGTTATAAAGTAAGGTCTGATTCTTGTGATGTGCAAAGAGGTCAAATTCATCCAAGACAAAAAGCACTGGCCTGCTGTTACTTCGGTTTCCTGGAAATAAAATATCAATTTCACTTAAAAAAAAAAAGACAAAGATTTCTTTCTCCAAGCAGGTATTTATATAACAAATCTATTTTGCCATTCTTGCTCCATCCCCAATTATTCTCCTAAGTCTTCAACTTCTAATTTTCTATTCTTTGATTAAATGTAATTATCTAAGTCAGGCCACTTAACGACGAAATAATGATACAGCTTCTGGAAGAAGGTACAGGAAAATCATCTTTTAAATACCGTCTGGACATACACATGCTACGATTTTGACCCAGCAAGTGAAAAAAAAGTGACATATTTCCAAGTCAGGATTGAGAGTGGCTTGGAAGGACCTTGTAGGTGGCGATATTCTCACGTGTAGCCACCTCCCTATTTGATAGTGGTGGTTGTACATGTGAAAAGGTGCTGTCTAAGGGCACTTGGTGAATTGCCATGGCACACCTTGTAGATTGTACACACTACTTATACTAAGCACCAGTGGTAGAGGGAGTGAATGTTTTGCATATAGTGCCAATCAAAGGAGGTTGCTTTGTCCAGGGTAGTTTCAAGTTTCTTGAGTGTTGTTGGAGCTATATTCTCCAAACTGGTGAGTATTTCCTAATATTCCTGACGTGTACTTTGTAGATGGCTGATAGGCTTTGGGGAGCTAGTTGGTGAATTACTCGCTGCAGGATTCTTAACCTTAGGCCTGCTACTGTAGCCACAGCATTTATATAGCTAGTCCAGTTGAGTTCCCACTTAACTAACTCCCAGATTTTGATACTAGGGGAAAATCAAATGGTAATGCTACTGAATGTCAAGGGGCAGTGGGTAGATTTCTCCTTGTTGGAGACCGTTATTGCCAAGCACTTGAGTGGAGCATGTGTTATTTGTCAGCTCAACTTGGATATTGTTCAGGCTTTGCTACATTCACATGGGGACTCAGTGATTGCAAGAAGTGTTGAATGTTGTGCGGAGAACATCTCAAATTCTGACCTAATGATGGAGGAGCTCGAAACTGTTGAGCAAAAAGGACACCATCCGGAGTAACTCCTGCAGAGATGCCCTGGAGCAGAGGTGACTGATTAACAATCACCACCACCCCTTTTGCCAGGCATGACTCCAACCAGTGGAGATTTCTCCTCCCCTCCGCCCCTTGCAATTCCCAATGATTTCAGTTTTGCTCGGGATGCTTAATGCAGGACAGTCACGTTCAGCTCACACGTCAAATACAGCTCTTTTGTCAACATTTGAAACAAGGCTGTAATGAGGCCAGGAGCTGAGTGGCACTGGCAGAACCAAGCATCGGTGAGCAGCAAGTGCTGCTTGGTAGCACTGTTGAGGACACGTTCCATCACTTTACTGATGGAGAGTAGACTGATGAGGTTCCGTGAATACAGAAGATATGTGGGCAATTTTCCACATAGCTTGATAGATACCAATGTTGCAACTGTATTGGAACAACATGGCAGGTGGCATGGTAGGTTCTGAGCACAAGTCTTCAGTCCTGCTGCTGAAATGTTGTCAGGGTCCATAGCTTTGCAGCATTGAATGCCTTGAACTGTTTCTTGACGTCACGTGAGGTAAACAGATTTAGCTGAAATGTGACTTTGATAATGCTTTGGACTTTTGGAGGAGGCCAAGATTGATCATCCACTCAGTACTTCTGGCTGAAGATTGTTGCGAATGCTTCAACTTCATCTTTTGCCCTGATGTGCTTGTCTCCCCCATCATTGAGGACAGAGATATTTGTGGAGCCTCCTCCTCTTCCAGTGAGTTGTTTACTTCTGCTCTACCATCCTTGACTGGATGTGACAGGACTACAGAGCTGTTGGTCATGGGGTTGCTTAGCCCTGTCTGTACTTTCTGTAGATGCTGTTTGGCACATTAGCCTGGTTTTTGTAGCTTCACTATTGCTGGATAATGCTCCTGAAATACCTTCACACATTCTTCTTTGAAGCAGGCTTGATACCCTAATTCGATGGAAACGGTAGAGCAGGGGATATGCCAGGCTAGATTGCATTGAAGTACGATTCTATTGCTGCTAATAGCCCAAGGTACCATATGAAATTAGTTGCTAAGTCTGTTCAAAGTCATCCCTGTTTACCATGGTGATAGTGCCACACATGATGAGAGTATTCTCAATGTGAAGACAGGAGTTCACTTCCACAAAGATTGTGGTGGTCGCTCGCACTGACATTCCTACAGACAGATGTATCTGTGGCAGACAGATTGGTGAGGATGAGGTCAAGTACGTTTTTCCTTCATGTTGGTTCCCTCACCTCCTGCCGCAGTCTCACACTAGCAATATCCTACAAGATCAACCAGCTTAGTCAGTATTGGTGCTGCTTAGTCAATTGGAGAGTACATGCTGTGTACTTGCAGTGCTTCCTCTAAGTAGAGGACTACTGATTCACCAGGTGAGGTCGGGGTGGGGAAAGAAGGTGGAAAGAGGGGTAGTATGTGATAATTAGATTTTCTTGCCCATGTTTGACCTGATGCAATGATACCTCACAGAATCCAAGTCAATATTAAGGATTCCTAGTGCAGCCCCCTCCCAATTGCACCACTACTGTGTCACCACCTCTGCTGGGTCTAGCCTGCCTGTTGGGCAGGACATACCCAGGGATATCTTGATGTTTGGGACATAGTCATACTCAATTAATCACTTTTACAGACACTGTCAGGCAGTGGCTTGATTCATCTGAGAAATAGCTCTCCTGGGCATTAGATTCCAGATGTTAGGAAGGAGAACATTACACAGTCAATAGGTTGTTTGCCGTTGCTGATGGCTTAGTCAATGCCAGTTGGTCCATCTGACTGCATTCCTTTTTTGAGACTTTCTAGCAGTTGTTACAACTCAGTTACTTGCTGGTCATTTCACAGGGCAGTTAAGAATCAACCACACTGCTGTGGGTCTGGATTCAAATGTTACCCTGATCACATCTTCTTTCCCAATAGTCATTGCCATTTGAAGAAAAAAATTTTGCTTTGCTAAATGTTTTCATGGTCATTGTTACTGAATTCAAAATTTTGCCTTCTGGCGTGCTGGGATTTGAACCTAGGCTCTCAGGACATTAAGTGGCTCGCTGGATAATTAGTTCAGCACAAAACCACTTGGACATCACCTTCCGTGTACAAGATTTAGTCCAGCCATTGTGGCACCTGCTGGCACCCGAGAGGTCATCAGGGTTTTCGTCCATGGTGGTGAGCTAAACATAAATCATGTCATTGCTGGTCAATTAGTGTGGGGGAGATAGTTTTAAAACCAGATAATGTGGTGGGCCTGTTGGGGAGGCAGTGACGAAGTGATAATGTCACCGAGTTAGTAATCCAGAACCTCAAACTAAATCTTTCGGAACATGGGTTCAAATGTCAGATGGTGAAATTGGAATTCAATATAAAAATGTGGTGGGGTTGTTCTGACACCCAGAAGCCTGCATCACCTGATGCAAAGTGTTGTCAGTCCTGTACGAGTGTCTCAGTGTTAGAAATCATCTTACAGGTTTTTAATGAAACTTCTACAGTTTAAATTTCCAGCATCTGAATTTCTGTTTGTTCCACACAAAATGACATTTCAAAGTTTTTTTCTTATTTAGTCACGGGATATGGGAATCTCTAACAAGGCCAACATTTATTGCCCATCCCTAATTGTGGAGAGGGCACTTAAGAGTCAACCACATTGCTGTGGGTCTGGAGTCACATGTAGGCCAGACCAGGTAAGGATGGCAGATTTCCCTCCCGAAAGGAAATTATTGTATTTTTTTCCCTAGACAATTGATAATGGAGTTATGGTTATCATTAGACGTTTAATTCCAGATTTTTTATTCAATTTAAATTCCACCATCTACCACGGTCCCGAAAACATTAGCCAAGTTTCTAGACTCACACTCTCGTGATAACACCACGAGGTCATTGCACTCCCCTCACTTCCACTGAGAAGGTTCTTCTGCCATCACACAAGATCATTCAGTGGCTGCAACAGCTTCAACTGAGGCCTGAAATGTCACAGTCCAGCCAGCACATCCCCTCCATTGTTTGATGGAGTACAGGTGGTTTGTTCCCATGCTGCCAGTATTTTCCTCTTTATATGCCTGCAGTGG